ATTTTTTAAAGCAAAACAAAAGAGGTAAATTGTTTCAAAACTTTCAATACCGAAAAAAATTAATTATAGATTACTTCTCTCCGGTGGCATATACACAAAAAAGGGCATATCGTGTCCGTGACGAGTCGCGGAGCAGTTGTAGAATTGCTTTTTATGACATATGTGGGTGTTGACGATGCTTTTTGAAGAGCAGGCGTCGTAACAAAAGGAAGTAACAATCTGCCGAGCAGAACAATAAATAGAAAAGTAAACATCCACAACACCGGAAACTACTAATGACGTAGTGGGCAGAACGGAAATTACTAATGAGGTTTTAGACATCATTATTCAAAGTCATTAAAAAAAGGAAATGACAATCTGCAGAACAGAAAAATGAACAGGAAATAAAACAATTACAACGCAGGTGATTGTTCATGACGAAGAGTATAAATTACACTGCAAATCGTTACTAGATGAAATGAGAGTAATAAACAGGAAACTACTCCAACTGTTAAAAGAGGAAATGATAACAAAAGAATAGTCAATTATATCTCCGCACCCTATTCGCATTTTACGGACCTGTTTCTGTTGCAGTTGTTGCTGCCCCTGCTGCAATTGCTACCAGCGTTGCTCCTGCTACTGGACGCAGTATATATTGGCGTCTTCACAGCAAACTATATCTGATGATGTGGAGCTTGACACCTCTTGTTTTCCTTCTTCTTCTTTGTCTTCTCCTCAATTAAAAGAGAGGAAAATGTAAGTATGTTGCAAATCCTTCACAAATATTTACTTACTAATATTACCCGGATATATTTTCATATTATTTGTAATTTCCATTCTAGTCTCAATGAACAAGCTAAAATGGAGTTGCTTGATAGGCTAAGTTTAGGAGCAGATGTGTGTTGATATAGAACGCCGCGACGAAGATGTTCAATGTGACGCCTGGAAACTGGCGTTGTTAAACCTAGATTTCAAAGGCGAACTGTACCAAGCATTTTTACAAGTAGTCTGACAGTGTATTTGTGTAACAATAAAGAAAAGTTATTTTTTACAATGAAACACTAACTTAAATGGACTGAACATGTATGTTATGGAGTTAGAAAATACATTATAAAGGTTTTATAAGTATAAGGGTACATACATTTAAAATGACTTGACTCTCACGGCAAACCCCTGATTAGTACTGTGCAAACATAGCTTTTGAACAGTGACCTCAGAAGTACCTCGTCATGCGACCTTTGTTTTAATCACCATCGTCCCATTATGATAATTAATTGTTCAAAATAAAACGTAAATGCTACAAGCCAAGGAGTTTGTGTTAATTGTTTACAATTTTAGCCAGTATAGCGTCGAAAATATCACTAATAACTACAAAAGGTCAATCAAAGGCTCTCAATGAAAGAAATACACGCGCAACTTTTCTTGAAAGGCAAGTGGGGGAAGGGGGTGGGGGAAGTTTTCGGCACTAGTTGCGTCGTCTGACGGACGACTCCTTTATAATCCACGGTTAACGTCACAAATTTCGATGCCTGCTCCTCAAGAACAAGCGTCTTCAACATCTATATTTGTCATTAAAAAAATTACACCTTTTCCGCGACTTGTCGCGGACACAATATTTTGGGTATACTTCACTGAAGGAGAGAAGTAAGTAGTTTATTAATTATTTTTATTATTGAATGTTTTGAAAGAATTTACCATTTTTGTTTTAAGAAATCTCTGGGAAGTGGCAATTCAAAAGGCAGAAGGGACCGTATTCTAAAATCACTGGGAGGACTTTCCCAAAGAAATTGCCTTTTCTATTACCGATGCAAAATGAATTTCATCGGAAATATTTACCACAGTTGTTAACACATATGTTATTACGATAAAGGCGATCTATTTTCTAGTTCATTTATTAATACAATGGAAAAGTATAAAGAGTTCTATGTGACCAAGTGGAGTGTAGGACTGGCGATGAGGGCAGCACTGCGCTTAGTTTTGCTTCGAAGAGAAATAGATAGAAACAATGCTTCGAAGAGAAAGAGACAATATGATGTATTTTTGACGACTAGGTATATTATGATTATAATTTGTCCATTTCCATCAATTGTTCTATTTATAACTATACATATATTAATAATTTACTACGATGAGTTTATAGTCACTCTGCTCAATGATGTAACAAAATTCTTAGAGGCGACGCCCCACACTTTCTACTTTGGCAAGGAAACAGCCAATAAAGCATGTTAAATTACTTCACTCTTTGAAACAAATGAAACCATTTGTTGAACAAAAGTATTAGAATGTGTTCGTAAATATTTTCAAATTAACTTAAAATCATATGATTATTGTGAATTAAATTGTGTGCCTGTTAATTTAACTGTGTAGTTTTCTTGAACTTATGAAGCTAAAAATAAAAACTTTGTATGAAAAAACATGAGTATCATTCACCTTGTTCTATTTTCTATTTTATTTATTAATGCAATGGAAAACTATAAAAAAAATTCTATATGACTAAGAGGAATGTAAGACTAGCGATGAGGGCAACACGGGGCTTTGTTTTGCTTCGAAGAGAAAGAGACAGAGCTATTTGTATTGTCAGTGCAACTGAAAACTGAAGTATTGACCTATACCAAGGTTCTAAGACGTGTACAAGGCCCTTTTTTAATGACATCTTAGGTTCAACACTACACGCGACAATCCATTTTCACCACGGGAAAAGGCCCATGCGTTCAATAATTATATTCATAACTACTGATAACGGTATAACGAATGGAAGTATTTTCAGTCCCTAAAAGTAACCACATATTCCAGTCATGCTACACAACACATTCTACAACGTGAGTTCATTACATTATTCGATTTAATGAAAACATTCAGGATTTTTTCTTTATTTCCAAAAAATAAAACGCAATGGAATTGTGTTTCAAATAGTTAATGATGGATCAAATTATTAAGTGTTTCCTATGTAATTGAAGTAAAGGAATGCTTTTATGGAAAATTATCTGAAAAAACTAATTGGGCTGATTAATTAGCATAACATACTATGTTACGCGATAATCCTTCACTACTTTGAAACAGGAAATATAGTAAATGTACCAGATGCCGCCCCGGCGTTATTGTGCGACGCAACGTTGCTAGTTCTAGATGCGGCTGTCTCTCTTCTGTACTATACTTCACTTGGTGAAGGTATACGTAGTGATAGGGTAAAGCATCGCAAACAATTGATTTAAAACATTGTTTAATAATAAAATATTGAAAAGTATTTAATAACAAAACTATGTTACTTAGAAAAGCAAAAAATATTTTATTTAGTATAATTGAAAAAAAAATACAATTGATAATGTGAGACAAAACTAAATTAATAGGTTTTACTATATCCCCAAAATTGGCTCTATACATTCATTTTCTAACTAAGATCGATCGATTTTGTCGACCAGTCAAATGGTCGTCAAAAATTTAAATGAAAAGAAAAGAGATTTATAAAATACTCACCACGGGAAGAGACCGTGAACAGCTCCAACTCCTAGCGCTGCTGCTGCTTTTGCTGCAGTCGCAGCAACTCCGCCGGCGTCAACATGTCCAGCGGAATAGCAGGTGGCGGGGGGAGTCGCTGCTGCTGCAGTTGTTGCTGTTGGATCGCCCACAGTTGTTGGCTACAATCCTGCAGTTGCTGTTGCAGCAGCTGCTGCTGCTGGTTCTGCTGCTGCATCTCCCACAGTTGTTGACGACAACCCTGCAATTGAAGTTGCAGCAGCTGCTGTTGCTGGTGCTGCTGCTGCTGGATCGCCCACAGTTGTTGGCAACAATCCTGCAATTGCTCTTGCAGCAGCAGCAGCAGCTGCTGCTGCAGTTGATGTTGCAGATGCTGTTGCGGCTGCTGCTGCGGCTGCTGTTGCGGCTGCTGCAGTTGATGTTGGCACGTGGGCTGAGGCTGGGTCGGGGACGGCTGCTGTTGCTGGTGGTGCTGTTGTTTCTGCAGTCGCTGCTGCGACTTTTGGTGCAGTCGCTCCAACTCCGCAGACGTCAACGTTTCGATCGGAACAGCCGGCGGGGGTGGCGGGCGCAGTTGCTGTTGCTGGTGGTGCTGTTGGTTCTGCAGTCGCTGCTGCGACGTTTGGTATAGTCGTTTCAACTCCGCGGGCGTCAACGTTTCGATCCGAACAGCTGGTGGCGGGGGTAGTTGATGGTGCTGCGGGGGCAGGATCAGATGACGTTACTGCTGGCGCGGTGGCTGTTTTCGGCGGGGGCGCAAGTTGAGGGGCACATTATATAGGATAAGTCTCGGAACTTTTGCACTTCCTGTAATTTATGAACTGTAGAAGTTATTGCTACGCAATATTCACAGAAATGCAGATATGTGTGTCATTGGATTTGTCTTTTTTACGCTTGTCATGTTAAAACACAAGAATAAGCATAGTTCCATTTAAAAAAATAAGTTACTACAGTATCTCGTAAAATACAAATGATAAAATGGAAACGTATACATACATCAATTAGCTCCATTCTCTCATGCAATTTCGTGAAAACTGCCTTGCAATAATTTCAACCGTTCAAAAATTACAAGAGGAGTGTGACTCACAAGTTACGTGACACACTGTAGATCGCAGTAACCGGACCCATCGCGTCCGACAAGTTCTCGAGGAACATAATCAGCTGTCCTCGTGACTGCCGCTGTAGCTGACGTGGCCGCTGTGGCGCTGTGGCTGCCGTGGTCGACCCAAAATGACGTAATTCGTCGGCGTAATTGCGATGTTGTTGCCAGTCCATACATTTGCCTCGCACTGCATAAAAATATACCCGTTTCAATTGAATTATGCTACACTACAGCCAATGGCGTAATGCCGTGCAAATCTTGGGCGTTGATAGAAGCCCGTGCGCCCACGAAATGCGTACACCCATCTAGATGGTTGTATTTTGCAGCCTAGTTGATAGTCCGAAGACTGAGCTGGCGAATACCTTGCCGAAGGCGAACTATCACCTCCATTCGGCCTGAGCAGCACGCCTTTTTTGCGATATAAGGGACACCCTAGTGTTCAATGATGGAGAGGTCTGGGGATCTTGGTGGCCACGGGAGGACTTCAACCTGCTCTAGACCAGGGCTTGCCAACTCAATGCCCTGTCTTATGCCGACGTCATGGGATTTCCAAATGCTTGGCGCACCATACGACGATCCTCCCTTGCGCGGCGTGGTGTTTCTTGATCGACTCGAGCCTGCACGACGTGCATGGGTACCGTCATGTACCCTTTGATTCCAACATCTGGTCTCTGTGACATCTGAGTGGTCCACATGCATGGCAGTTGCACAATACGACCCACCAGCCTCCACAATGCGGCCTCTACCAAATGCAATCAGTTAGTGGATGGGCTGTCGAACCCGTCTGTGCGGTATCGCTGGTGCTTCGTACTGTACGTAAACATCGTCCTTCACTGTCAGACTCACGGCAGTTGACTGTCAATGGCGCAACGACAGGGTGATGACATCACTAATGCACTGTGGTGGGCGTTTTACACATCAAAAATACGTGTGAATCTAAACATTTACTCATACACCAATGGGATGTATGTACACCGAAATGCGATATCGGACCACTCCTTCTAGTGGCATCACTTTTGTTTTCAGGCCGTGTAGACTAGTATTTTGCTACGTGAAAAATATGTTTTCCAACAAATACTTTTTTAATTATTACAATAATGAATAGAGTTCGTTTTGTTCACAACATTACTCTTTTTTATTCGATAATAATTGTCCACAAACTAGTTTTATTAACAGTGAATAAAGTTCGTCTGCGACTTTTTGATCATCAGTCAGAGGCATAAAATGAAACTGGAGAATGGTTTTAAATAAACGCTACATGTAGGAACGCGATAGCCAATCTGCAGCGGGTTGTGTGCAATGTTGAACATTAAATGCTAACATTTTATCAAACAACATAAATGAGGAGCGTTTGTAGATGATAATCGTGAAGGAAGTGAAGGAGAAATAATCTTTCGATGTCTTTTGGAGGCGGATTCTCCTCGCTTTAGCCGATGAATTTCTCCTTTTTTGTTTGTATTCTTCTTTGCCATATGTGATGGTTTACAGAGTCTTGTACAAGGATGGGAACACTCACCTATTTTTTGGTTCTTTCCTTCTTTTTCTGGCGTTTCTGTAAGTGTGTTACGAAAATGATCTGCTTTGATCTTCTAGCACCTCCTTCGCTTCTTCCTCCACTTTTATTTAGGTTTCTTCTTATTCTTCTCTAAGAAATACACTGTGTGATGGAGATGATTCTCTGTCACGTTCGCTTGTAGATATCAGACTAACTTCTTCCGGTGTGATCAGGTTTCTAGTCGGTGCTATAACGAGTCAAAGCACATTTCATCCACATTTTATACTTTGCGAACTTCTGTGATTTGATGGTAGTCCATTTTTCGTTCACATAAAAAATGAGACAAAAGGCAGGCGTGACGGCTGGCTTGTTCCCTTGCATTATCTTTTTAATACCTGATGAAGATGCGATCGTCAACTCTTTAAGTCGTAACATACCCAAAATGCGATAGTGCTAAATGCACTCTTTAGAATAACATAAACGCCATATAGCTCTACAATTTTATTTTTTCAAAAGTTACAAGAATGTAATGTTTTTGACTTTTCTCTGACGTCGTTAATATTTACATTAGTGGCAATTTGTTCACATTGTTATTCTTATGAGTACATGCGCTTTAAATAATGTCATATAAACTTCTTGAAAACTCAACTGTTTTCTGTATTAACTAGCTCAAAATTCCGCATTTTCAGAAATGTTCTAACCACATTTTCACAAAAACTTCTTCAATTTGTTTCAAACTTTTCGAACTAATATTGCTAATTGCACTTTTTAATATGAAATAAAGTTCATTTCGGTTATTTTTTGTTTTTAAAAAATACACAAATGTATTTTTTTAACATTTGTCACGCTGTCAATATGCACATTTGCAGCAATTTGTAAACACTATCGTATTTGTGAGTAATGGTGCTTCAAATGACTTCTCTTGCAGTTTTTTAAAAACCAAACATTTTTCTACGAAGAAGAGCTTCAAGTTTTAAATTTACAGTAGCGCTTAAACGCCATTTTCTTAAAAACGGCTCCAAATTTTTCAAAGAAAATTGCCATTTAAAACGAGGTTTTACTGTTCTTTTATAAACTTAAACTAATATTTCGGATCTACTATTACGAAACCGAAAACTTGATAAAATGTCAAAAAATATAGTTTGGGTGATAGATGGAAGTTGCCACGAGTATGTGGCAAGTCCGAACAGCTAGCCGAGACCAAAGGAAGTAGAAATTTAATACTGGAAAGTCTGTGCAATTCTGTAACACCACTCGTTTCTCTTTCTCCGCCGTTTACGTGGCTCTACACCACACACCGCCTTCGCTTCCATCGCGACATTGTGTCGAATTCTTTCTTGAAAAATTCCACGAAAAAATTTGGAGCCGTTTTTAAGAAAATGGCGTTTAAGCGCTTCTGAATTATTTGAAATTTGAAACTCTTCTTCATAGAAAATTGTTGAGTTTTTTCTTCGAGTTGTCGTTGTTCATATTTCATGTGGTTGACATAGTTTGCGATGGCTGTTTTTAAGAAAATGGCGTTTAAGCGCTACTGTAAATTTGAAATTTGAAACTCTTCTTCATAGAAAAGTGTTGAGTTTTTTCTTCGAGCTGTCGTTGCTCAGCTTTCTTGTGATTGACATCGTTTGCGATGGCAGACGCCCCCGCCTGCTGCGGATCCGAGCGCTCCGAGAACTCCCAGTATGTTGGGTTTGGGAGGTAGACATTTTCTGCGCACGCGTCGTAGCGGCCTCCGTCTCATTCCGCTTCCGGTTGGTTCGGTCTATCTCTGTCGCGCTGCGGGACGAGATACGGTGCACCAACTACGAACCATTTGCGAGAGCAGTTAAGGAAACTAAAGAAATCAAACATGACGTCTCGATTTTATATCTCCTATGCCCCTTCTAAGGCTTCCCCCAATCGTCATACAAAAGTTTCTACTTAATAATTGAGGACAGTCGGACGTTCTCCCTCGTTTTCATATTCGCATGATCGGAATCATTAAGCTTATACTCCAACTTAAGTTTGTTCCTTATCTTTATATTGTGTTCCCTATCTCTATTGGTCCACTCTTCTTGTTATTATCCAGAGGACGACAAGGAATATAACAAACGTCTCGACAATGCTGATTTATAAGCTAATTAGTATTCAATCTTCATTGTTTTCAGCATCCAAATGGCAGTGAATACAAACATTTATACAGCATTTTTAACAGCATTATACATTATTTTTCATGTTTACATGAACCCATTTCTTACAAGTTATACACTGCACACAGTTTTCTCAATCCTTTGTTTTTTTGAAATGGTTCCGAACAAAAAACACTCTTCATCTTCGGAGTACTCGAATTTGTCCTTTTTCGACGTATTAGCTCCAGATCGTTGCTCAGAAAAATTATGTTTTGTTTTTTCTTTTTTTTAGTGTAGGTCTTTTCTCTGATCTTTCTTGTTGCTGTGATTGCATTCCCTCTTTAAAAGGAATGCTAGTTAAAATGGCAGATTTCAAAGTTTTTCATTTCTTAAGGTTAGTCCTCGAGGTTATGCTTTAGGATGATGTCTGATGTCCAAAGGGTTAAGAGCTAAGTAGGTAACCCATCTTCTACAACAGAAACAGCAATACTTCTTCTTATCATTAGGATCTTCACCTATTGTATTTGTACTGTTCCTACCCCAGTTTCATCTAAATTCCTAATGTCATTTGCATTGAAACAGTATTTTTCAAAAACAGTGGCTAAAAGTTTGAAAAATATTAACATTGTGTTTATTGAAATTTGTGTGTCGATTCTAATTAGTAGTTTCAGGACCACGAAGAGACATTTGAGAGTTTCGCTGCATATTTGATCGTCGTCTAATCAACACATGCAGACGTCTTCTTTTCTGGCATTTGAATTTTTTCTCCACGGCAATACTATATGCTAAGCTTAGTAATCCTGAACGACTTTACCATAAAATGTTTTTGCTGATTGAACAATATATTCACCCTTTTAAAATTCTTGTTGAGGAGTGAATACCCTACGCACTTCTGTATAACCATTTGAGGAACCCCTTCTGCATCAAGCATTACATTTTTCTTCTTTATATAACTGCACAGTGACATTCGATTCACATTTAATATTTCAGCAGCTATCCTTAAACTACATCTTCCATATTCGACTAACAAGGTGGCTCTTTTGTAGTCTTACAACGAAGATTTCGCTCTTTCAGTTCCGCTCTTGTAATTTCTAACTACATTTCCTGAAATTAAAATTATTTCTGTCAAAAAATTATTGGGGCAAGTAGTGACACTGTCGCAACATGCCCATTAGAACCTGTCACAACTAGCCCCTATAAACACTAATATGAATTTCCGTTTTTATTTCACGATATTTTGTTATACTGTAACAAATATTGCATCATCTACCGGAATTCTCTGCGCGGATTGCGTCACCTGCCAGCGCCTCCCGAACTGGACGATTCCGGGTTAGTCGCGAGTCGCGTAGAAGTGTGACGCAAGTTCCGAATAGGTCCAGGCGGGCACCAGCCAGGTATAAATTCGCCTCTGCCGGCGGCCGCTAGCAGTCTGAAGTCTGAAGAGGAAGCTGAGCTGTGAAGTGTGCATTGCGATGAACAGTGGGCGAACAGCAGTGCAGAGGACCGTGATCAGCACTGTGAACTGTGGCCAGTGTAGTGGACCGTGGAAAGTGCATCGGATTGTGCGATAGTGTAGAAGAAGTAAACAGTGTAAATAAATAATGAGAAGTGAACAGAGTAAATAAATAATCAGAAGAAGTGAACAGTGCAAATAAATAATCAAGAGAAGTGAGTCGCGTGTAAGGAAATAACCCAGTGAAGAACACAAAGACTGTGCAACGTATCTGTAAATAAATCAAGTATTTTAGTGTATCATTAAGGAACAAAATGAACGTCTTTGTTAAAATATTACCTGTGTTTTAATTCACCACAAGAAATGTTATAATACCTACACTATGTGATCAAAAGTATCCGGATACGTCCAAAATGGTGTTATGGTGTGGTCGTATTTTTCATGGGGGCTTTCACCCCTTGATGTTTTGTGTGGAACTATCACGGCACAGACCTACGTTGTTGATGTTGATGAACACCTTCTTGCTTCCCACTGTTAAAGAGCAATTAGGGGATGGCGATTGCATCTTTCAACTCGATCGCGCACGTGTTCGGCCTGTGGCAGAGTGGTAACACGAAAATAACATCCCTATTATGGACTGGCCTGCAAAGAGCTCTGCCTTGAATCCTATCGAACCCCTTTGGGATGTTTTGGAATACCGATTTCGTGCCAGGCCTCGCCGATCTACATCGATACCTCTCCTCAGTGCAACCCTCCGTGAAGAATGGGTTGCCATTTTCTAAGAAACCCTCCAACACCTGATTGAAAGTATGCCTGCGAAAGTGGAAGCTGTCATCAAGGCTAAGGGTGGGCCAACACCCTATTTAATTTCAGCAATACTGATGGACAGCGCCACGAATTCGTACGTCATTTTCATACACGTGTCCGGATACTTTTGATTACATAGTGTATAAACAAAAAAATCAAATTATAGCTTAAAAATATTTGTTTCATAAATACTGAATAGTTGTACATACCTCATATTTATTGTTGCTAAAGTTGACTCCAACAATCAGATAGATTTCTACTTTCCTACGTGTAAAACACAAAACATTCGTAAATATGTAAAGCATGTAACAGTTACTGCAGCAAGCGTAGGAGCATATAGTGCACTGAGACAAAGAATTGAAACATGCATATAAACTATCACGAGCTGTGCTCTATTGGATCGGTCAGAAAACACGATGTCACAACTTTCTCGTCACAAATGGCCCCGGTGTCACCTAAGTATTTGACTTGAATTATTTGGCAAAAAATAGTAAAAACTGTATGTGACGTATGGGAAAGAAGTAACATCTGCGCACGTTGTCTTGAGTTCCATAAAATCTCTTTCCAACATTTTAATTATAAATAGTTGAAAGATGACAAAAATTAAAATTATAATAATAGTAATAATAATAATAATAACAACAATAATAATAATAAAATTTAAAAGCACGAGGATAGCAACATTTTAAAAACTGAGAGCGTAGGCTACCGCGGCCGGAGTCAGTATTTACTAGGCTGTTCGGGTGACGCCGCGTCCATGGCGAAGGTGCCGACGTTTCGGTCGCCATTCTGCGACCTTCCTCAGGGCGTAATGCCTACGTAATGCTAATGGCATTACGCCCTGAGGAAGGTCGCAGAATGGCGACCGAAACGTCGGTACCTTCGCCATGGACAGCCTAGTATGTATTTGAAAAACTATTCATTTTGGCTCCCAAGTTATTAAAAACTTATTTGCATTGGAAAACTAACTGCGGTTTTGATGATCTTGTATTTCTAACAAAATAATTACACACACCCGCCTCTACTCCAACCACAAGAAGCAAAAGGAGAACTCAACAAAACGTGCGCATAGTGAAACTACATTTATGTCCAAAAGGAACACAAGGGGCCATCTCAGCATTTGCTCAATGGATCAGGGAACCTGGGCAAAAACCTGATTGAGATGGGGGTCATTGACCCGGAAGCTGAAATACATTACTTCAAAATTAATCTATGAGCTACAATAAGGTAGTGAGGTAGAGTATAAACAGTGAGAGCAGCTACGATTTTTTTACTCTAAACATAACTATTTGTTTTAGTTTAATCCTACGATTTATATTTTATTAACTTTGTTATTTTAAAATAATATTCAATATTAATACTTAATCAACTAACCGTTTGTTTATCAATTTGTTCTCTTAATGTGATGTTTCTAGCGAAGTTGGTCTGAACCAACTTTCCTTGGCTGGGATCCTTGTAATTCATTTCCATGACTTCATTATCTGCAGAAAAATTAAACTTGAAAGGCACATACTTTTGTGATTAAGAAGAAGAAAAATGTTGGAAATATCCAGGCAGAAATTGTCGCTGCTAAGTCGTTGCTAAGAACGAACAGTTGTAAAATGTACAATGATTACAAAAATATCAGGACGCATTAATGAAGTGACTAGAATGCTAGGATGGTTTAGATTCCTTCAGTCCTGTATTAAACAAGCCGAACGTTTTGAGATCTTGCCTGTATGTGGTTAGGTAGTAACTCACAAGATTTTAGCATTAATAGCAAACCAGTAATAAAAAAAATAAATTACATTAGAAAGCTTTTTAAACAAAGAAACAGCACAGGAGTGTCTGACTTTGTATATCGTTTAAATGCTTGTTGTTCTATCTAACTCTGGTTAATTCATTTTGATATATGTTCTGGGGGTGCGACAAGTTGAGATAACTCCAGAACACTTGATAACACGAACTCAATGTAATTTTGTAAATTGCATAGCAAATATTACAAATCCAAATACCTCCATCATATAAACGCAGAAATATACTATAGTGTTTGATTTTGTTAGATTTAGATTTATTTAGGAAAAAAACAGTAAAAACTGTGTGTGACGTAGGGGGTGCGTAGAAGTTCATCTGCGCACGTTTTCTTGAGTTCCAGAATCCCTTCCCGTCTTTTAACTATAAATAGTTGATATATGAGTAAAAGTATAAAATAAATAAATAAAAATAAAATTTAAAAAAGCGCGAGATTAGCAATGTTTGAAAAAATAGACATTTTTGTTCCCGAGTTATAGAAAAAGTATTTGCATCGGTAAAGGAATTGCAGGTATGATTTTTCTGCATTGCCAACAAAAAAGTAACACGCTCTTACCTCTACTTCTACCATTACAAGCAAAAGGAGAGTTCAATAAAACGTGCGCACAGTGAAACTACATTTACGTCCAGAAACAAAACAAGGGGCCATCTCAACATATGCTCAATGGATCAGGGAAACTGGACAAAAACCTAATCGACATGGGGTTCACTGACCCGGAAGCTGAAGTACATTCTTTGGTTACAAACATATTAAGTCCTTTTACAAAAATTATACAATACAAATGTAAACTAATCCATTATATATCACTGTTCTGTTAAAATAAACACTATTTTTCTTTTTGATAATTAGTATAGTCTCTAATTGTATAGAAACAGTTATGAGCAGAAAATATTTTACTTTTAATTTAAATTTGTGTGCCAACTTCAATTCTTTAATGTCATCTGGCAATGCGTTGTAAAGTAACGTACATGTATGTGGATTTCTGATAGTGAGCTGTTGATACTGGCACTTGATGAATGTGATTTTTACGACGTGTGTTGAAATTATAAATATCAGTATAGCATGAAAATATGGCGGAATATTGCAGTGCGGTGAAGTGAAGTGTGGTGAAGTGAAAAAGCGATAAAGTGGAGTGCTATGAATGATTGCACGGTGAAATGTTCACGTTAAATAATGTCATATATTTTTTCGAAAACTCAACAGTTGTCTCTTAAAATTAGCTCAAAATTTCGCATTTTCAGGGACGCTCAAACACCTTTTTTTTAAAAATGGTTCCATGTTTTTTCTATGCTTTCGAACGGTTAGTGCTAATTGCACATTTAAACATGACAAAGTTAATTTT